ATTTGACAAGGGAGCTAAGCACACTCCATGGAGGAAAGACCATTTGTTTTATAGATGGTGCTGGAAAAACTGGATATTCACACGTAAAAGAATGAAACTAGATCCCTATCTTACACCACTCACAAAAATAGACTTGATATGGATTAAAAAGCCTTAAATGTAAGACCAGAAATTCCTAAAAGAAAACCCAGGAAAAAAGCTCCTTGACAGATACGTTGCCAGATTTGTTTTGTTTTTGTTTGTTTGTTTTGGATAGGACACTGAAAGCACAAACAAACAAGCGGGGCTACAAAGTAAAAAGATTCAGCACAGCAAAATAATCAACAAAATTAAAAGACAACTATGGAAGAGGAAAAACATTTACAACTCATGTATCTGATAAGAGGTTATTATCTAAAATATATAAGGAACTCCTACAACTAAATAGCAAAAAACCCCAAATAATCCATTGATAAAAATGGGCAAAGGACCTGACTAGACATTTTTCCAAAGAAGATACATGAATGGACAACAGGTACACAAGAAGGTGCTCAACATCATTAATAATAGGGGAAATACAAATCAAAATCACAATGATATACCACATCATGTCTGTTAGGATGGCAATTATCAAAAGACAAGAGGTAACAAATGTTGGTGAGGGTGTGCAGAAAATGGAAGTCTTGTGCACTGCTGATGGGACAGTAAATTGGTTTGGCCACTATGGAAAGCAGTATGGATTTCCCTCAAAGAGTTAAAAATAGAGCTACCATATGATGCATCAATTTCACTTCTGGGGATTTATATAGAAGGAGATGAAAAACTGTTGAGATACCTGCATCTCCACGTTCACATTAGCATTATTTACAATAGGCAAGACATGGAAGTGTCCACCCATGGGTGAATCAATAAAGAAATGGTGGTGTATATATACAGTAGAATATTATTCAGCCATAAAAAGAAGGAAATGCTGCCATTTGTGGCAACACGGATGGCCCTTGAGGGCATTATGCTAAGTGAAGTCAGAAAGAAATACTGTATGGTTTTACTCTTACGTGTAATCTTAAAAGATCAAATTTGTGGTTACCAGAGCCAAGGGGTGAGGGAAGGAGGAACTGGGTGTAGATGATCCAAAAGATACACACTTACAGTTATGAGATAAATAAGTGCTGGGGATATAATGGACAACATGATAACTATAGTTAACACTGCTTTATGGTCTATATGAAAGTTGATGAGAGTAAATCCTAAAAGTTCTCATCACAAGGGGGAAAAAAAAACAATTTAAGTATCTCCCTGAGATAATGGATGTTAACTAAACTTATTGTGGTAATCTTTTCATAGGAATCATATATGTAAGCCAAGTCATTATGCTGTACACCTTCTACTTATACAAGGCTGTAGGTCAGTTACAGCTCAATGAAACTGGTGGGGAAAGAGGCTGAGTAACTTGCAGAAGGTCTCACAGCTAGAGCCAGGAGAGACCAACATTCAAACTCGGTGCTGTCTGGTCTAACAGCCAAATACTGCGAAGGACTTTGATCTGTACTATGTACTTAGTGGGCATCGGCAAAGGGTTTTAAAAAGGATGGCAAAAGTAAGAGCTGTATTTTACTAGGTTCATTCTGTTGCAGGGTGGGGCCTGGAGTGGGAGAAAGGTATGGGACATGGGGATGATGGCGGTCTTTACATCTAACATTGGGTTGATGGGGTCTATCCCACATGCACTCTAAAACTTACTGAACACAGCTGTTTTGGAGCCTCTCAAGGAAACCTGCATCACTGTTCATTATCGGGTTGGTAGCTGATGAGTTACTAGTGAGCTTATAAGGTGCTGCAGAAAGCAACAGGCCCCATGCCTGATTTTACCATACACCAAATGGGAAATGACGTCTTCCTGAAGTCTGCTGAGAAGTCTTTGTGGTACTAGGCGCAGGTACTAGGTACTTCTCTCTTGCCCTAAAGGCCGATTTCACTCAAACTGCATGACTCTTCTTTTTCCTGTAGCATGCCAAACCAGGCACCTCTCTACTAGACTATAGATCACACTTCCAAAAAGCCAACTATGGAGAAAAGCTGGAGATAATGGGGCAATACTGCTCCATAGTTCGGCTTCTTTGGTTTGTAGGCAGAAAACTCACTGGGAAGCCCAGGTGTTGGCTTTCACCGTGTACAGTTTCCACCTAATTGATAGCGGAATGCAGACTTTTGAGTCTCTGTCCAGATGATAGGATGGTGCCAGGGGTTAGAGTAACAGCCTCTGTTCTTGTTGAGGTCCTAAGATGCCCAGTCATACCTATCAGCCCAGGGTTCACGGCTCTCCTTATGGTCCAGCCCGGCCTTGCTTACTGACCTCACAACATGCTAGAGAAGAGCTGATAGGAAGGTAGTTTACAAATGTTCAGATGAAGACGGAAGTGTTTAACACAACAACTGCTCTCAGCCACAGCAACTCTCCAGCCTCACTTAGGTCATCCAGTATCCAGTGTCAACATTGAAAATAAAGTCTTGATTGGTAATAAGATTCACACGTTAAGACTAAGCCTCACTCACCGCCTCAGGGCCCAAGGTTCACGCTGCTCGCCCTGCCCCTGCCCGTTTCCCAGTCTGCCCGTCTCCGTCCTCAACATGGCTCCTACGACAGTCTGCATTTGTGGAGCACGCGTGTGCCAACCCCTCGTTGCTCCTTAGGTTTCGTGTCAGACACCATACCCTGCTCCAGGACAATGCTGCGAGCTCCCGTACTTAAAACAAGATGCACAGGCAGTATAACAGAATCAATGGGACTGTTTCTACTGTCACCAGACATGCGACTTCCCACAATGCGCAGCATCCCACAATCCCTTTGGGAGTCAAAGTCCCATCTCAGAATTGCACAATGGTGCAGCCAGAGGGCCTGTGTAATTGCCTCCCCAGATGGGCCTACAGACTATGAGCCCACTGTTCCTGGGGGGATGACTGAAGGCTCATTTGCTGCTATGCACACTTACGGACAGGACCTGTCAGCTTCTGACTCTTCAAAGGAGTCAAAGAAACAGCTTGACTGGAAGGCATTTCAGCTAGGGAGCAGCTGTGGGGCCTGATATGGTACACCTTGTTGGCTTGTTGCGATCCCAAGTTTCAGCGGAAATACTTAAAAAGTTCCTCTGGGACGGTAGCCAGTGCACATCCTGGCAGAACTCCCCAAGGAGGGAGAGCAAGGACCATCCCCATCTATGGCTTCACAGTCCGACTCTCTCCGCTTCAAGCCAGTACAGCTCTTATTAGCTCTGCAACCTTGGTGGGTTAAGTTCGCTGTGCTTCAGTTTCCTCATCTGTGAAATGGGGGATAAGAACAGTGCCTCACACGGTTATTGGGAAGGATTAAATCCGTTAACACAGTGCTCGCTTCGGCAGCACATATACTAAAATTGGAACGACACAGAGAAGATTAGCGTGGCCCCTGCACGAGGATGACACACAAATTCATGAAGCGTTCCATATTTAAAAAAAAAAAACAGTTAACACACATAAAACTACTTAGAACAGCATCTGGCACAAGTGCCTAATAATGCCAAGTACTAGTATTAATGACAGTAATAAAACATCCCCCTGTAACAACATTACCTTGACGAGCGGGAGCACCATCCACGCAGCCCTTTTCCCCCAGCCTGTTCTAAGGTGAGGAGCGTGAGGCCGGCCTCCGCTGCCGTTATCTTGACCACTGCAAACACTGCCTTTACTGAGAACATATGGGAAAGGCCCTTGAGTCCGAGCTTCAAGTGCCTGATCTGTATCACCAGGACAAGTCATGTTTCCTGAGACCATTTGCTTGCCTGAAAAATGGGAACACTGATCCCTATCGTGATGGCTTCCTGGGATGGCTGGGAGACCAAAGGGGTTCAGGGTAAAGTCACAGGAGGTGACTTTATAAGACCAGCAGCTTGAACGGACACGAGGACCCACTGTAGCAAAGGCCGTGCCAGCATGGAGCAGATCGCCCGGCTTCCGGCCAGGCAGTCCTTGGCACCACAGTCCCTGAGGCCTCTCCCTGGATCTCACAAGAACCTCTCCCGCTCTCTCCTCTTTCTCTGCCAACGTTAGGGTCTCTCTGCCCTTTTATCTCCTGACAAGGGTGTTGACATGCGGCACACCTGTGCTCGCAGTGATTTGCTTGCTTTGTTCCCCCCGTCAACCTTCCTCTCTGGCGATGGAGGCCACCTGACCCCCAGCTGTGGGCAGTGGCTCCAGCCCTCCCCCAGACGCTGGTCATTACTAAGGCCTAATGTAGATTTAGGCCCTAGTGGGACCTGCAGATAGATGGAGGAGACTATGAAATATGTGAAAAACTGGTCGCAAAGGACTCCTCCAGTCCTCCAGAGATCCCTGCCTGGAGAGATCTGTCTCCGTATTTCAGGGAGCCTCCACCACTATTCCTAGCACCTACCCAACATTCCGAGTTTGGCAGGTGCTCTCACAGGTTGTTGCAATATGTTTAATACTCAGCCCCTCAACCGCACACTGGCTTAGGTACTTGGGGTGTGACTAATTTGTGGGTAGTAAAAACATAAAAAGAAAAATAAAATATCTTCCACGGGTAGTACTTTAGAAATTACGAAGTGCACACTATCTCACTCAGCAGCCTGCCGTATAAACAGGATGGGTGCAGCGATTACTAAATCCTATTTTACAGGTGAGGAAACTGAGGGTCAGGGAGGCCACGTGATTTGCCCGAGGTCAGATAACTTGTCAGAAACCCGAAACTCAGGCTTCCTGGTTACACACTGAGGCTTTTTTCCTTGACTCCAGGCTATCCTGGGTACTTCCTACCTTTCTTGGCAAAAACATCTTCCAAATAGCTCATCCAATGTAAATAACTAGGACCTACACGTGAGTGAATTTTATGGGCGGGTTCAGTAAAATTGGCCTTGTGCCAGCACGTGGAATTCACTAGAAAATGCCACTTGAGCACAGGGCGTGTCATGTTAGGAGCATCAGGACAACCACAGAATCAGAGACTCGTGGCACCCCCATCGTTCTACCTTCTCCAGGCCCGCTGGATGACCGCGGCCGCCTTGTTCTTCTTGCGAAACAGCTCTTTCCTGCTCCTTTCTCTCTGGATTATCTGCAGCCGCAGTTCTACGGGGAGAAGGTCAATATTGACACTCTGCCCAGAGAGGGGACCAGGTGCTGGATCAGTCTCCTTGGATAGCTGGGTGTCCTCAGACAGGGCAGATGTTCCCAGCTTCCTGACTCCCGACCTCAACACCTCTGTGCTCTGTGGCAAATCTGAGTAGATCCCTCCTGCGAGCTTGTCCTGTGTCACTTTGTTTCTTGGTGTCCGATGGTGGAGAGGATGCTGCCCAGCGTGGACCACCTCCCCCTTGGCACTGCCAGGCCGGCTAGAACCAGCCGGGGAGCCCCTTCCTCCTCTGAGCTCTTGAATGCGCCTTTTTTGGGAAGCACACCTGGCCTTGGGTGCTGGGTCCTGCCGCCTGCCGGGCTTCCGGTGGCCATCCTGCTGTGGAAGGCTTGCAGCTGCCCAACCGGGGTCCTCTCCTTCCTCATCAGGCCCAGCCGCCCTGATACAGGAGGGCTGCTTCAAGAAGCCTTTCCCCTTGTCACACCGCCGCTCACCAACTGTCTCACCTCCGGACTTCTCAACAGAGGAGACTCCCGGATGCCTGTTTCCATCCTTGCCTTTACTGGGGCTGAAGTGGACACAGGCAGATCGGCCTTTAGAGTGTTCTCTGGATGATTCTTGGGGAGATAAGGAAAAAAGGAAAGAATATTTATTGTCCCAAACTTAGCCCATTTTTCCACATAAAATACTCACACTCGTCCGATAGCTTCACCATGATAGTAGTGACTCTAATCAGAAAAAAACCGTTCAACTTCTATTTCTAGCAATGGAATGTTAGATAACCTGAAATCCTTCCCATTACAAGAACCTACAAATGCTGGGGCGCCTGGGTGGCTCAGTCGGTTGAGCGTCCGACTTCAGCTCAGGTCACGATCTCGTGGTCTGTGAGTTTGAGCCCCACGTCGGGCTCTGGGCTGAC